ATGGACCTGACAGGGACAAAATGAACTACTCGGGCAGCACAGCCAGTGCTGGCATGGGAGTGGGACATACACTACAGATGCAGGCGATCATCTATCATCTTTTGGTTTTCTCCAGGGACAGGGCTCAGAACAGTCAAACTACAAAAATTTTGCACAGCCACTCATGTCATCAATGTTTGTGGCCTCTGTGCGGGGGTGGGGGTGGGGTTGTCAAAATGCTGGTGTTTCACTAGTAGTACTTGGTCCCACAGTATGACTCCCTTCAGAGCTATGTGCCCTATAGCTCAAAACCCACCCCAACCCCAAACAAGACTGTGGCTAGGGCACCGAAGAGGAAGCTGAGACACGAGGACAGTGGAGTGCCCTCAAACAGGTGAGGCTGCCTCAGAGTCTGACATGCCCCTAACATAAAGCAGGAACCATAAGCTAGTGTTCCCCCCAGAGCTTGGAGATGATGGCCCTAGGATTCCTAACGAAGTCCTCATCTGAACAGCAGGATAAAGCACTTCCCTGCTCAGGAGCACGTGGGCACCCACCCAGGAAGGGAGAGACAAGCCTGGCCTCCCGGACCTCCCCACCATGCAAAGGGAATGCAGACTAAATGAAGACTCCTCCTGCCACCAGTGTCCAGGTTGACGTCCAAGCAGTTCACCTACTTACTAGCACGCAGCATAGCACTGGGGCCTCCCACGACAGCTGTGGGATACTGGCTGCAGGCCCATGGAACCTGGTGCTCCTTCACACCTGGACAGCACCTTGCAGCCACCCTACACCTTTACCAGGCCCTGACTCCAAGAGACTGTGCAGGTTGGACTCTCCAGCCACTGACCTCAACTCTGTGTCATCTCCTATGCCCACCTGGGGTCCCTCACCAGCATTTTGCCCTATTTTATTTCCTTTCTAGCACTGTCCACTGATGAATCTTTCTTGCTGATTCCGGGGTGGCTGTTTATTATCTATCTCTTTTTTTTTAAAGAGAGAGTGAGAGACAGAGAGAGAGAGAATTTTTTAACATTTATTTTTTAGTTTTTTTTTTTTTTTTGCGGGCACAACAACTTTTGTTTGTATGTGGTGCTGAGGATCGAACCCGGGTCGCACGCATGCCAGGCGAGCGCGCTACCGCTTGAGCCACATCCCCAGCCCCAATATCTATCTCTTTTTTTATTATTTTTATTTTTTTTAAAGTTGTAGAAGGATAGAATGTCTTTATTTTGTTTGCTTTTATGTGGTGCTGAGGACCAAATCCAGTGCCTCACATGTGCTAGGCAAGCGCTCCACCACTGAGCTACAGCCCCAGCCCCTATTATCTACCTCTTGATAATTCTAGAATATTGCTGCTGACACAAGGCACCCATCTTAGTCCCTGCGGGCGTCTAGCCCCTGAGCAGTGGCCCTGTGCTGACCAGACACTCCATCAAATTGGGTGAGAAGAGTGAGCCCAGGCTCATCTCCCACCAGCTCTGCTTGAACCTCCACGAGGGCCCAGAGCAGGAGACAGCGCTGGGCAGGAGTGCCAAGAGCTGAGAGCTCAAGAGGGCTCAGGGTATGCTGGGGCCTGAGAGAAGGATCTGAAGCTTGGAACGGGGTTAAATACTGGCACCCTCACGGTTCTGAGGAGAAGGATCTGGAGCTGGGATGGGTCAGGAATTCACTTGCCCAAAGCCTTGTGAGGCAGGCAGGGCCAAGATTCAAACCCAGACAGCTTTGATCTCCAGCCTCAAGGACCCTGCCTGGGCCCTCAGTTATTCCCAAATATGCTCCTCTCCACCAAGGAGGTCACCTGGCCACAGAGACCACTCAATTCCCCTAGTGACAAAATACAACCCGGCAGATGGAGGCAGATGCCCCTGGGTGGGTCACTTCCTCAGGGTCACCAGGGGACACTTCTCTGAGTAGGCAGTGACATTATTCTGGAAGGATGAGTTGTATACCACTTCCTCTATCTGCTCTCCTGGAAATAACCCAGCAAAGTCACAAAAGAAATACAGAGAAATGGTAACCTCAGAACTACTCGGGATTTTATAATCAAAGAGAAACTTTAACAAGTCCAAAATGGGATGGGAGGACCAGCCGTTACACATATTGCTAAATCTCTACCTGCCTGGCCACCAGGCCTACACAAGAGCAGCTCAGACTTCAGACCCTTCTGGGGAAAGAAACCACCGTAGATCCTTACACAAGGCTGCTCATAGGGCTACGATGAACAATTCATGGAAAGACACAGGGAAAGTTCCACAGCAAGTTCCTGTCTAGACCCTGCCACACCTGAATATGTAAAAGTCTTTTTGCAATTAAAAAGTTTAAGTAGGGGGCTGGGGTTGTGGCTTAGTGGTAGAGTGCTTGCCTAGCATGCATGAGGCACTCGGTTCGATCCTCAGCACCACATAAAAATTTAAAAAAATAAAGATATTGTGTCCACCTAAAACTAAAAAAATATTTTTAAAAAAATTTAAGCAGGGGTAAGGGGCGCAGCTCAGTGGTACGGGGCTTGCCTAGCACGCACAAGCATGCACTCCCAGAACAACAACAAAAAAAACCCTACCCACAAGTTGCTATTGGCAAACCATATAGCCACAGCACCAGAGAACAGTAAATCCTGGCTGCTAGTTGACAGAAATGGGCACACAAGGTTTTGTGAACAACAAATATCAAGTTCTTTAAGTTGCCTTCCCCATGCCCACCATCCAAAACCAGCTAAATGAAGGCTCTTCCTGCCACCAGTGCCACAAAAAGCACAGGAGCTCCTCTGGTCTTAGCTCAGTCCAGTCCACTGCCCAAAGCGTAATATTAAATACGAAAGCTTCCATGCCACTTAATTGACCAGTCATCTTTCAAGAAAAACACAAGTCTGGATCTCCCCAAAATTTAACCCAGCCAATCAAGTTGCCCTAGACGGCTTAGAGAGTTCTCTGAGGGAACCCTTCCTGGCTGGTCAACACACTACTATAAACAGCCTGGATGGAACAAGCTCAACAGTCTGCAGTTAACTTCACCTTCACATACAAGGAAGACCCAGCTTAGTTAGGAGATGTAACCTATACCCGAAATTAAAAATAGCAGCATGATGGCATGAGGCAGACGCACAGGCAAGCCTTCCTGACAGGGGACTGGAACGAGTGAGGGCAGCTTTGGACAGAAGGTGGGGCTCTTGGTCCCAGGATCCCAGAAGTCCGAAGCAACCAGGTACCAAGTCCATCTTATTTACATGACTCATGTGCTCTCCCCCAGCTGTTTCTGGGAAAACCTGCCTTCCTGCAGGACAAGTCAGAATTGCCCAGGGGAGCCAGGCAAGGTGGTGGTGCACGCCTATAATCCCAGCTACTCAGGAAGCTGAGGCAGAAGGATTGTAAGTTCGAGGCCAGCCGGAGCAACTTAAGGACAGCCTGTCTCAAAATTTTTTTAAAATAATAAAAAAGAGCTCAGGATAACAGCTCAGTAATAGAGCGCCCCTAGGTTAAATCCCCAGTACCTTGGGGGGGGGGGGGGCTGCACAGATGAAAAGGTTCCAGGCTGCAATTTCACCAGGAAAAATGGCCCAAGATGGTCACTGGGCAGCCACTGCCACCTCCTGAAACCATCATTAAATTCTCCTCCTCACCTGCAGGGGCGCCTTAGCCTCGTCTTGGGGAATCTTTTTGACAAGGGTAGAAGGAGCTCTTCCAAAAAGAAGAAATCCCCGTTCTATGAAGGGGAAAACTGAAACACAAGGACAGGAAGGAAACTGCTGAAAGAAGCAAAGGAGCTGTGGGCTCCAGGACAGGAGAAGGAACACAAAACAGGGTAAGAAATTCCCAGCTTAGCTAATGGTGCTGAACAAGTCTGGGGCAGGAAGAAAGCCACATTCCTTCCTAGTTACTCTCTCCTCACCCGCCCGCGGCCCCCCCATGCTCAGTATACATAAACACACACACAGGGCCTCCCTGAATCTGAGACAGACATCCCCCCACAACCCCAGCCGCCTTATGATTATGAAGTCCTCACTTTCCAGGAAAAGAGGTAAAGTGCTCCTTCCTTTCTCTCAGATCCTAATCACTGGGGGATCTGCAACTCTGATCTGGGCACAAGACAGAGGGTGCCCATGACACAAACTGAAATGGGAAGAGGCAGACTTCTGATCACTTCTGATCACGACTCCAGATGTGCCCCAAAGTTAGACCTGAAAGAAGGTACACCCAGCAGTCTCCCCACCCCCCAGCCAGGTGGCAGAACTGAAAGACTCCAAACTTCCCCAGATGGGCCCAAATTGACCAGAGAAGTTTGAGAGTTAACCACCAGGTATGGTGGCCAGAGCCTCCTTCCAGGTCCACCAGGGGCTCCAAGACTGAGAAAAACACCGCGGGGGGGCCAACCCCACACAACTACCTTCAGGAAAACATCACTGCCTCCCTAAACATTTTCACCCTCCGATGGTATCCAGAGACAGGGTCATCGGAAAGCGCCAAACACAGGCCCCAGGTACAGACACAGCCTTCCACCTAGATGGAACAGGCCCCCACAGGTGGCCAGTCAGCAGCGCCCCCTGACCCACCCTGCCTGGGACATGGAAAAGCTGCTTCCCAGGAAGACACACCAGTCACCCCCACCCAACTGCCCCTCCAGGTGTCCAGACAGAGAAGCCCAAGTCCCCACCACCACACCAGGCCAGAGGAGCACCGTCCTCTCCCTTTCCCCACCAGGTGGGAAGACCAGTTCCTGCCCAGGTGCCGGGAGGGCCAGGAAAGGCCCCGGACGCCTCCAGGTGCCAACACTGACGCCCCTCCCGGCCAAGTTCCGGCCCCTTGGCCGCCACGGACTGTCCGCCGGTACCGCCTAGTAGCACCTACGAAGACCGCGGTTCCCGGCGCTCCGGGCTGATGCCGGCCGAGGACACCGCTGGCCCAGGGACCTACCAGCAGCACGCTGGACCCTGCGCTCCCCGCCAGGGCGCCGCGGTGAGGGGCGCGCGAGGCCGGCCCGCGCCCCGACGTCCCCGACGGCGCACCGGACCCCACGCCGCTCACCTGGCTGGCGCGGTAGCTCTCGAAGGCCTTCAGGGCACTGTCGGTGAGCTTCACGTGGAACACAGACACCTTGCTGCCGTCGCTCACCCGCCCGCACGACAGCCCGTAGCTCCGAGCCTCCTTCAGCGCCGCCATCTTGCGACCATCGCTCCCCCGCCCCCCCCTTCCCGGCTCCAGCGCCGGCGCGACGGCCACGCCCCGCCCCGCCGCCCTCTGACGTGCTACATTATTCATGAGATGCGGCTGGCCACGCCCCACAGGGGCCCAAGAAGCCAATAGTCGCTCTCGCACAGTTCGCTGACGTGCTGCATTATTCATAAGACATAAAAAGCAACGCCCTCTACGGGCACAACAAGGTTCATAGTCTCCGCCCCAATGTTCTGCATATTCATAATATGCTGAAGGTCCCACCTCTCCAGACCCTAGAGGAGGCCACTTCCGTGCATGAACTCCGCCTTGACACGCGCACCCCTCCAGGCCCCGCCTCCATATGTATTATTCACGACCCTGACTCCGCCGGGCGCGTCAAAACCCCGCCCTCAGCCTCTGACGTGATGCATTATTTATGAGATCTCTTTGGTCTTCCGTCTTTGGCTTCTGTTAGGAGCCGCAGCGAGGGCGTGGAGGGGGCGGGGACAGCGCAAAACACGTGGGAGGCGGGGGGCAGATGCTGGCCAGGTTAGTGGGCGTGGCTATGAAAACAAGTCGCGCGATGGACGCTGGGTTCTGCTGATGCGGCTTCGCTTAAGGTGGGCTGCTGGGATTCCAGGACCTGAAGCTACTAGAGGGTTGGAAGAAGAGGGATCCTCTAAACTTTGTTTATGAAAAGAGTAGACTGTAAAATGATAAAATACACCATCGCCCTGAGCAATGGTGGAGTATAGCTCTATTTCTGAGCAGAAAAAAAAAAAAAAAGTATACGAAATAGAACTTGGTAGGAAAGTCTTTAAGTTTTTTTTTTTTTTTTTTGCTTATGATTGTTTCCTAGGGCTGGGAACATGCCAGGCAAATGCTGTACTATGGTCCTAACCTCCAGACCTAGGCTGTTTTATATTAAAAAGTAGTCATCTATTTAATGTGTAGAATTCCACTATACAAAATCAATATATTAAAAACCAATAAAATGCCTGTACACCAATAATGACTTCGCTGAAAAGAAATTAGGAAAAATTCCATTCACAAGAACCTAAAAAAAGAAACCCTAGGAATAAACCTAAACAAGAAAGTAAAAGACCCTCTACAATGAAAATTATAGCACTGAAGAAATTGAGGAAGACACTAGGGAAAAAAATGGAAACACTTCCTGTGTTTATGGATGCGCAGAATTACATTGTTAAAATGGCCATATTACCTAAAGCAATCCCCACCAGCATACCAATGGTATTCCTTACAGAAATTTTAGAAAAAAATAGTCCTGAAATTCATTTGGAAGAATAAAAAAACCCAGAATGGCCAAAGCAATCCCTCCCAACCCCACCCTCCACCCAGGGTTTGGACGCAACACCTCACACATGCTAGCCACTCACCCTATTATTGAAGTACACATCCCCAAATTGGCCTGCCAAAACAATTACAAGCCATAAAAACAATGCTGGAATTGTCACAATACCTGACTTCAAATTATATTACAGATCTCTAGTAATAAAAATTGCATGGTACTGGCATAAAAACAGACAATAACATAGAAAGAATAGAAGACACAAAGATAAACCCACCCAGAGTCATCTGATTGTTGACAAAGCACCAACAACATACATTGAGGAGAAGACAGTCTTTTTAAAAATGTTGCAGGGAAAGCTGACTATCCATATGTAGAAGAATGAGGCTAGATTCTTATTTCCCACCCTGCACAACAGTCAACTCAAACAAATCAAAGACCTAGAAATTAGATCAGAAACTTTGAAACTGGTAGAAGAAAACATTGGGTCAACATCCAAACAGGGAAGTGCCGGCAACAACTTCCTCAATAGGACTCCTGAACTCAGGAAATAATGCCAAGAATTAATAAATGGGATAACATCAAATTAAAAAACTGCACAAGCAAAGGAAACATTTAAAAGCAAAAAGAGTCCACAGAATGGAAGAAAATTTTTGCTAGCTACTCTTCTGCTAGAAAATTGATATTCAGAATATATAGGGAGCACAAAAAACCTAACACCCCCAAAATAATAATAACCCAATCAATAAATGGGGTAATGAACTAAATAGACACTCCTCAAAAGGAGTACAAATGGAGGATTGGGGTTGTGGCTTAGTGGTAGAGCTCTTGCCTAACATGTGTGAGGCCCTGGGTTCGATCCTCAGCACCACATATAAATAAAGTTAAAAATCCATTGGCAACTAAAATATATTAAAACAAATAAATAAATAAAATAATAAATGTATTGTGTCCATCTACAACTAAAAAAAAATTAAAAAGAGGAGTACAAATGGGGGTGCTGGGGTCATGGCTCAGTAGTAGAGCACTTGCCTGGCATGTATGAGGCACTGAGTTCAATCCTCAGCACCACATACAAATAAATAAAATAAATAAAGATATTGTGTCCATCTACAACTAAAAATTTTAAAAAGGGAAAATACATTTTAAAAAAAATGTTCAGCATTGTTAGCAATTAGGGAAATGCAAATCAAAACTACACTGAAGGCTGGGGATATAGCTCAGTTGGTAGAGAGCTTGCCTCGCTTGCATGCACAAGGCCCTGGGTTCAATCCCGGCACCACATAAAGCTGGGGGAGGTGGCGCACATCTGTAATCCCAGCGGCTTGGAAGGCTGAGTCAGGTGAATTGTGAGTTCAAAGCCAGCCTCAGCAACTATGAGGCACTAAACAACTCAGTAAGACCCTGTCTCTAAATAAACCACAAAATAGGGCTGGGGATGTGGCTCAGTGGTCGAGTGTCCCTGAGTTCAATCCTTGGTAAAAAATAAATAAATAAATAATTTAAAAAATTACTTCTCTAAATAAACATTCATTTAATAAATTAAAAATATTTATTTAAAAAAAAAAACTACGGGGCTGGGGCTCAGCAGTAGCGCACTTGCCTGGCATGTGTGAGGCACTGGGTTCGATTCTCAGCACCACATATAAATAAACAAAAATCTATCAATAACTAAAAAATTGTTTAAAAAAATACAAAGAACAATCCAGGCATGGTGGCACATGCCTGTAATCCCAGAGACCTGGGAGAGACAGAGGCAGGAGGATCTCAAATTCAAGCCAGCCTCAACAATGTAGCAAGACCCTCTCAGCAACTTAAGGAGACCCTGTCTCAACATTTAAAAATAAAGTAAAAAGTGATGGAGACGTGGCTCAGTGGTAAAGCGCCCCTGGGTTCAATCCTCAGTACAGCAAAAAAAATAAATAAATAAATAAAAAGAATACAAATAATGATAAATGTTGCTGAAGGCGTGGGTAAAACTTTTACACTGACGGTGAGATTATAAATCAATCACCACAACCACAGTGAAAATCAGTAAGAAGTTTCTTTGGAAGACTAGAAGTGGAACCACCATGTGACCTAGCTATACCATCCCTTGGTATCTATCCTAAACAATTAAAGTCATTATACCAGAGCAATACATGCACACCCCTGTTTACATACAGTAATAATGTCTGTTTCACTCTACCATCTGTCCTATGCCCACATCCATCACTTCCCTCTACTAATCTAAGGTAACGCTATTCTTCCCTAGTGCCCCAGGCCTGTGAATCAGCATCCGCATATTAGAGAAGACAAATGGCCTTTGGTTTTGTGGGATTGGCTTATTTCGCTTAACATAATATTCTCCAACTCCAACCATTTACTGGCAAATGCCATAATTTCACTCTTCTTTAAAGCTGAGTGATACTCAATATATTATTATTATTATTATTATTTTTTTGTGGTGCTGGGGATTGAACCCAGGGCCTTGTGCATGCAAGGCAAGCACTCTACCAATTGAGCTATATCCCCATCTACAACTAAAAATTTTCTTTATCCATTCATCTATTGAGGGACATCTAGGGTTTGTTCCATAGCCTAGCTATTGTGAATTGAGCTGCTATAAACATCAATGTGGCTGTGTCACGGTAGTATGCTGATTTTAAGTCCTTTGGCTATAAACCAAGGAATGGGATTGCTGGGTCAAATGGTGGTTCCATTCCTAGTCTTCTGAGGAATCTCCATCTGCTTTCCGTAGTGGTTTTACCCATTTGCCGTCCCAACAGCAATGTCTGAGTGTGCCTTTTTCCCCACATCCTCACCAACATTTTTTATTGTTGCCTGTATTCTTGGTGATTGCCATTCTGAAAGGAATGAGATGAAATCTTAGAGTAGTTTTGATTTGCATTTCTCTAATTGTTAGATATGTTGAACACTTTTTTCATATATTTGTTGATCAATTGTATTTCTTATTCTGTGAAGTGTCTGTTCAGTTCCTTAGCCCATTTATTGATTGGGTTGTTTGTTTTTTGGGTGTTAAGTTTTTTGAGTTATTTATATATCCTGGAGATTAATGCTTTATTGGAGGTGCATGTGGTAAAGATTTTCTCCCAGTCTGTTGTCTCTCACCTCACATTATTGTTTCCTTTGCTGAGAAGAAGCTTTTTAATTTGAATCCATCCCGTTTATTGATTCTTGAATTTACTTCTTGTGCTTTAGGAGTCTTGTTAAGGAAGTCAGATCCTAGGCTGACGTGGTGAAGATTTGGGCCTATTTTTTCTTCTATTAGGGCTCAGGGTCTCTGTTCTAAGTCTTTGGTCCACTTTGAGTTGATTTCTGTGCAGGGTGAGAGATAGAGGTTTAATTTCATTTTGCTACATATGGACTTCCAGTTTTGCTAAGCATCATTTTTTGACTAGGCTATCTTTTCTCCAGTGAATGTTTGGTTTCATTCCTTTTTAACAACTGAATACTATTCCATTGTAGGAACCTACCCTTTTTGTTTGTCCATTCATCCTTTGAGGAACATTTGGGCAGCTTTTTCTCTTTCTATTTCACTATTATGAATGTTGCCTCTTGACCATTCAAGTACACAGGGCTTTTTTTTTTTTTTTTTTTTTTTAGTTTTATTTCTGTTTTTTAGCTTAGTTTTGTTTTGCAGGGCTGGGGATGGAACCCAGGGTCTCATGCCCACTAGGCAAGAGCTCTTTTACTGAGCTGTACCCCCAG